TAATAAGCAAAATCACGGAACGACGAACGACGATGCCGACCGACGGCCCGGCCAGCTGGAACGTCTTGTAAAGAATATTGTGGGAATTGTTTTTCTGCGCTCCGACCGGCTCGAGGTTATCGAGCCAAGTCGAGGCAACCTGCTCACGCAAGTACATTTTATGCTTCGCACCTCTGTCTCTGTTTTCTTCTTAATTATATCGTACATAATTTAGTCGACGGATTGTCAGTACTACTACCTAGTTTTCAACAAAGATCTTGAAAGGATCGACTCGTGGAATTTCTTCGTTCGAACTCGAGCGATTTGATCGAGCGAGATACATTTTAGATTGAAGAATATAAAAAAAATTAGATTCTCGTAGTTTCTTAACTTTGGCGAGCCAATAATTTCATAGTTTCGTACAAAAATATATGTACATGGACTGGATTGAAATTTCGTTCGAGGATACGTTGGAATTTAACATTGTTACATCGAACAATCGTAGGATAAAACTGCCCGATTGTATCGCTCGAGTAAATTAACCATCTTCTTACTATCTTCATTTGCAATAGCATTTCTCGATAGAGAGAATGATCGTGTCGACGGTCGTGCATACTCCGACCTCGCGACACTCCCCACTCATCCATACGAAACGCACAGAGACAGAGGTGGCCTAGCTAACCAACCTGCCTACTTTCACGCATATTACGATATTTGATATACCATACCACCACTTTCGACACGAGGACATTTCCTTTCGTACGTTTTACCGGCGTTTTAATAAGTTCGCTTTCGACACGAGAAGTTTCGGATCAAAGATTCATTGCTGTCCTAGGTTGCGCACAAGACGACACACAAGAGACGTGGCGCGGGGTCACGTTCCCGTCGTGCCCGATGTCGTTCGACCATCTTCGGATGGAAACGATGGGGAGGGGAGAGGAACGTTTCCCCGCGGCAGGGAGCAAAAGGAAATTTCGTTTTTCGGCAAACACCAAAAAGAAAAACTCAGCTCGAATGGCTCGCGGGGACGCGGCCAGCTCCGTGGCCGCGTTTCCATGACCGATTCGGGCCACACAACAGATAAGTGTTCGTCAAGGCGGCGTACTACTCGATCGCCTAGCGGCACACCCACACACACGCGTACAACGACACACCGCGAACGTAAGGGGGGGGACACGCACACACTTACGCACGCACACACGGTACACAACACACACGACGCTGCACACTTTACACCCGACACAGTTACACGCAGTTTCGGCCAGAATCTAAAAGACACATCAAGGAAAAAAGTACAAGTTTATCACGTTGCGCCTTAATGTTAAAATTAAAAGTTGATCAAAAGAGTGGAAGTTGAAAGAAAGAAAGAAAAAAAGAAAAAGAGGAAGAAGAAGATGAAAAAGAAGAAAAAAAAATAAAATAATAATGCGAAGCGTATTCTTAACCAAAATCGGCCTTAGTATATTACATTTTTTCCGGGGCCGTACGGCGACGAACGACGAGCGACCCTCCCCACGCGTCCTTTCCCCATCCCCCATCCCCCTCGTATCCCCCTGCCCCAAAAGAAAAATCCCCCCATCTCTCTAGATTATAAGATTTCTCTAGATTGTATCTATAAAAATGATATATTATAAATATATGTATACATATAGTATATATCCGCCGGCGGCGGGACGTTTCGAAACCTCGCAGCTAACTCAGCAAACCCCAAAAAAAAAAAAAAAAAAAGAAAAGAAAGAAAGAAAAAACTATCGAAAGATTGAAAGGGAGAATGAAGGGAGAGAAAGGGAGGGAGAGAAAGGGAGAGAGAGAAAGAAGAAGAAAGAAAAATAGTCTTCTCGGTTCCCGCCGCGTCTGGCAGGATTCGAAATTCTTACGTGGTTCGCGTCCACGTTGAACGAAGAAAAGGTCGAGGGTGGTTTCGAATTCGCCGCGATTAGGGTGCGACGTGGACGCGAGACCTGTCTTTCAAAGTTCCCTCCTCGAACGCCGGAAGGTCGCCGGTCGATCGTCTCGCGGCCCGAACAACCCCTGCTCCAGCAAACCCCCCGCGACATTTGTCCCTCCTGTGCCACCCACCCCCAAAACCCCCTAAAAACCTCAGAAAGAAAAATTTAAACACGCCAATTTAATAATACCCCCCAGCCTCCTAAAAAGAAGAAGAAGAAAAAAAAACGAATTCCAATCCTTATCCGCTCGAGAATGAAGAGCACAATGGAAAGAAGAAAAAGGAAAACCGAAGTTAAGAGTGGGAATCATCCGTGAGAAAGAGAAGGGGAGAGAGAGAGGAGAGAGAGAGAGAGAGAGAGAGAGAGTACGTTTCCTTTCTCGCGTCAGAGAAGAAAAACACTTCCTGCATGTGCGAAGCAAGAAAGAAAATCTTAAGGGATGAAAGCGACGACGCGAGTGGACGGGTCATCCGAAATTATTCTAAGGACTCTCGTCTTCGGGCGGGAACGCAGGTGGATTAACGAGGACGACAGCGGTTAACGATGACGATAGCGGTGCTCGAGGAGAAGAAGAGAGAGAAAGAGAGAGAGAGAGAGAGAGTGGTCGGAAGACGAGGATATAGAATAATTGCGAACGGGAGAAACGAAGATTAAGAACGAGGATATAAATAGAAAAAAATTGAAATGGACTCGATTTGTCGACTCGCTTGTTTCCCGCGGCCGGGACGAGGGAAAATTCGCCGAAAATCCGAGAGAATCGAAAAGCTTGCAGTAAGGAAGAGAGAAAGGAAGGAAGAGAGAAGAGAGAGAGAGAGAGAGAGAGAGAACGAAAGGAAGATTTCAAAATGTTGAGGAGGGATCGACCACGTATTATCTCGTCGCGTAGATCCGCGGTATTCTTTGCCATCCGTTTTCATTTTCACGAACCCGTATTTCTCCGAGATACTCGACCACGACTCGAAAACGAAGAGGGGCGAGGATCAATTCGTCGTGTTTAACTGGTGCCCGTTATGGGCGAATTCGAACACACGATGCTGCGCATCGGTGGACGGCTGAGCTCGCGACACTGGGAGCAACAACTTCAGGCACGAGAAAGAGAGAGAGAGAGAGAGAGAGAGAGAGAGAGAGAGAGAGAGAAGAAAAGAAAGAAGAA